GTGGTACTGAGTGTTTTTATGTGGAGCGGGTGAGGAGGAGACAAGCCAAGCAGTGCAGATCGCTGCCTGGACAGAGGTRAGAACTAAAACTGTTCCTCTCTGCTGGGAAACACCAAACCACTTGAGATGGGCTCCACCTCCTGGTTTGGAGGCTTTGAACACAGCCAGAACCACCATGGTTTTAACCAGGATGCATGAGACACAAAGTACAAAACTGATGCCAAAYGCTGCGTGTCTCAGTTGGCATGTCCACAGTCGGGGTCGCCCAATGAACAGCAGCGAACACAGGAAACACAACTTTAGAGACAGCAGCAGCTGGAAGCTCAGTTCTGAGTTGTTGGCCCTCACTATAGGTGTGCTGCGATGATGGATGAAGATCCCCAGAACAACTGCACAGATAAATGTTCCCAGTAATGAGGCGACTGTCAAACAGATACCCAGAGGCTCCTGATAGGACAGGAACTCAGTTTTCTTAGGAACACAGAGGTCCYGCTGGGGGCCGGACCAGAAGTCCTCTGGACAACTGAAGCACTCCAACGAGTCTGAGGGGGAAAAGGATGGAAGTATGTTGTACTAATAAAATTGTTGAATATTAAAAAAAAAACACCAAAACTTTAGAACTCACTTGTTTTATTGCTGATCTTTCCTTCAGAACAAGCAACACAGTCATAACAACACTCAGGTTCCCCCTTCCTTCTCACCAGGCGGGTACCTGAAGGACAGTTCTCGCTGCACACTGAGCGTGGCGGCTGTAGAAAGTAGGAAAAGTGTAATTCTGTGCTCTGTTTATTTTACACTCCCAGTATGACTCATCAAATTGACTAAAATAGGAAAAGACCTTTTTGGGCTCAAAGTTCCAGAAGATCCTCTCTTCATAAAGCATCAGTTCTTCTCCGTTGAAGGCCGACATTTTAACATCGCCAACGTATTGAACCTCAGTTCTTCCATCAGGGAGCCACAGCCAGTTCATAACATCATATATTGGTAAAGCGTCACCATTTGCATCAAATGACACCTGATCTCCAAATGATGTGGTGTAATTGACTTTTTCCAGGTAAAACACAAGCTAAAAATATATATAAAGACAAAATATTTTCTCAGTTAACTCAGTCTGCACAACCAGGCATGTTTTTAAAACTTTGAGCACATCTAAGCACAGGCTTAATATGCAAACACTAAATTCCAAAGACACAGCACTACTAACATCTCTGCACGAACAAACATTGAAGATCTTTGCTTGTTTTTTTGCAAGTCAAATTGTTGCTTCCTATAGACTACATGCAACTCTTCAGAAAAAAGAACATTTTAGTAGAAAAACAGGTGAAGTACWTTGTACCTGCCATGGCTCAAATGCATGTATACTGGCACAACTGCCCTCACTGAAAGGCCCTCTGCCTGGCTCACACCGCAGCAAATCATCAAGAGCATATGCCAGTGCATATACAGCTTTGTAAACATTGTACTCAGACCTTAGGTCAGAAATGTCGAAAAATTCTGTTGTTACATTCTCTAAATCTTCTTCTCCGGTACATAAAGTTCCCCCGTCCTCCACCCAACCTGCTGGAGGCGGTGGAAATCTACACTGAAATGTGAACTCCCAAAACTGGTTCACCTGCAGTAAATATGACTCAATGTTGTCAACAATCACACTTTAWATACACAAAATAACAGATTTTAGGACAACCATATCTCACCATGCTATTTTCATTGCTGTTGTTGTGATGTAAGTCAGGACGTATTTCTAACAGGAAGTTCCTGAGGCCCGGTATCTCTCCTCGACGAATGGCTATACCCAGTGTGCCGCCCAGGTACGGCATGAGCTGGGGGGTCTGAAGCACAGCAGCTGTGGTCCACGCTTCACTCGCCAACCACTGCAGGCCTGTCACATTCTGTCTCACTACCTGGTTGGATTTTGAATGTGTTCCCAGATTTTTTTTTGTCATGCAGCAGAACACAACCGATGAATTTTACAGCTTAGTTCTTGCTTTTCACAGTCAAAATCTCTCTTTGACAATAAAACATTGTTTATAGGTGTTCATTGCTCTGTTTTTTCTTAGTCTATCTAATCAAGCAACATAATCTTACTGTTTAAGAAATATTATAATACTTTTTAATACCCACCTCTTCCATGAGATTAATAATCAGACTCTCGTGTGCAAAGACAATGACCACTCGAGCTGTGGATTGCTTCATTGTGTCCACAATCCTTTTCAGTTCAATTAAGTCTTTCTCCCAGGGCAAAATCTCTACATAGGCCAGACACCCATCACCAGACAGACTCAGATCAGACTGGAAGGCTCGAGCAGCRTGGAGACCATAGTCATCATCACTGATCAACAAACCAGCCCAAGTCCAGCCAAAGTGTTTTAATATCTGAATCATAGCTCGGACCTGAGTTCATAGAGAGAGGAGGCAAAAAGTGAAAAATCTATTCAACAGGAAAAATATTGGAGTTATTTTCTGCAAGAAACATAAAGGGAAGATATGTATTTTTATTTTTAACACAGTCAATTTTTTCAACATGTTTTTTTTACCTGAAAAGCATCACTTGGTATTGTTCTAAAGAAGGATGGAAACATCTGGCGGTCACTGAGGCATGAACATGTGGCAAAATAACTCACCTGAGCAATAAACAAGTTTTACAGAAATGCTAAAAACATCAACCAGCCTTTAAGATTCATGTTACTGAGCATTAGAGGTGAAAAAAATTTGAAGATTGATGTTGGGTGAGGGAGCAGAATACTTACCATGGGTACTCGGTACAAACCTACAACAGTGGAGATGGCAATTGTACGAGTAGAGGAAGAATCCCCCACTATTGCTATGAYCGGAGGGATCCCTATACAAGTCTCATCTATCATCATTTCCTCCTCTTGACCACTGATTAATGCCAGGGCTGCACGGAATCCGATTCCAAGAGTGAGACAGTTATCGTGCATACKGAACCCCAGAGTCACGTTGGGCAGCAGCTTGGAACTTCTGTTGATCTCATCGATCGCAAAGGCCATGGTCTGAGTCTGTCTAAATCCTAAAACATCAAAACTAACACAAAAAATACAAAATTATTACTATTAAGTCAACAAGATTCATCATTTACGAAAACAGAAATAAAAAAAAAGGTATTGCAAAAGACGAGTTGTTTCCTTTACAAAGTCCCTGTTTAACTCACCCATAACAGGTAAGCTGTTCTGGCTCCAAGTTAAAAGACAGTTCGGGAAAAACAGAGAAGAAATGAACTTGAAACAGTCCACCCAGCATCACATCTCCAGTTTTATGCAGCCCATTTAGATGAAACTTTCCCTGCAACAGACAGGAGGTGGAATTCAGATAGGAGGACACAGCAGAAGAAACATACAAGTTCAACAGTAAGAAGAAGCATTTGAGTTTTAAGGGCTGCATGACAATCATGTGGTTGACCCTTGTTCTGAGCCCAGCAAGTATTTTTTTCATTTTCCTATCTCTTTTTATGGACTTGCTACTGCCCATAATTGACAGTGAGGGAGGAGCAATAATGATTTTGCTCATGTTTGAGTGTGGGTGTACCATTATGACTCATGAACYATCAACCAGCTTTTAATCAAACTCTCTGAAATTAATCGTTGGAACTACATCAGCAATGAATTAACCTTTTGGAGTCAACCCAATCCAAGATGGATGTTACAACGACACTTCAGTAAATTTACAGATACTGAGCTACACAAGTAGCTGACAGTCCTTCACAACACAAACTCCAAGCTCTAACAAATCCAATAAAACCATGCAAGATGACACAATATTGTAAACTAATCTGCACAATGTTATTGTTATTTGGACCACGATGTAATTTCTCCACACGAGATGACCTCGGTCTAAAACTCTGCATGAAAGCCAAATAGGTGACATACATCGCTTCAAGGAATGCTTGGTCTTTAAAATCTTATTTGTTCACAAATCAACTTACAAAAAGAAAAAAAAAGAAGAACCTTGAGAAATTTCAGCTTCMAAACCACAAAACAACAGAAGCAGATTAACAACATTAAAATTTGCTAACTGAATATTTAAATATTGCTAATGAGAAAATTAAACAAGGCCACGATGATAACAATTAT